ATCTTAATAAGAAACCAAGTTAAGTTTTTGGAACTTGTCCATTTCTAGGCCTACCTAGACCAAACATGCATGGATAAAGCATCAAGAGAAGGACCGTACATGTACCAGGATTGCTTTGGATGCTGGATCTGGCTTACGTTTTTGGATGAGAGATAAGGTTGTAGTTTTAGGAGAGCAAGTCCATATCCAAGTAACTGCAAGCCCTTCCTGTACCAAACTTGCATAAATGTTGCACCTAGGGATGTACAATACTAGATAATTTGTTTAGTGTAGGACTTTGCCTAACTTAACGTTATCATTTGTTGACGATAACTCTGTAATCTTTGATTATATACGTCTCTAATTGGTTCACACTCTTTCAATCTTTGTCCTTTCCTACGGTAGACTACATTCCTAAGAGATGACTTTTTAGTATTTAGATGATAACAGGAATACATGTATTTCCTTACAGGATTAAACACTTGTTTGGTAATGTGATGCCTTGACACAGCAACAGGATTTTTTCTCTAGTGAAAATGTATTCTTCTTTTGAATTTAAAAATGCTTCCAAAGTGCCACATTATATTTAAAGGAAAAAACGACTCTTGACAAAAGTTGCTAAAAAGCACTGAATTTATTGAAACCATTTTCTAAATATTCTACCATACTTGTGTAGATTTTGTACATATATATTTAAAAATAATAATAATAAAAGATAAAATAACAGTATAAAATGGACTAACATTAAAGACTGGCAAATACGAAAACATTGTCAGCGTACTTATAAAATTTTCTAGTTTTTAAGAACACATTCTACCAATAAAAAAACCCTGAGCAAATCTAAGTAGCAATGAAGCTTGTATATGGGCATAATGATTAGAGTAGTGTAAAAACAAGTATGTACTAATGAAGTATTTATGTATGACTGTATGTATACAAACTAATGGTACGTTTAAACTATAAAATAAAACTAAAATTATTTACATTCAAAGGCATATGGATTTCTTGAATTAAAACATTATAATAAGGTAAAATATTAAGCGATTCTTTTTCTCAAAATTTACTATTAATAAAAAAGGTTTTTCTTTTTTTTTTGACAAAAAGTACAGTCAATTGAAACTTCATTTTTGTACATTCCAGAAAGTTGCTGCATAGCACCAAAATTATGAACTGAAGTTGAGAATCATAGATACTTGAAAAAAAAACTATGCATATCCCACAGACTAGAAAAGACTAATACATGTATATTCATTTATACGCAAATAATTTGGGGGATAATGGCAATGAATGATGATTACATAAACATTTACATCTACCATATCTATTACAGTACATATATATGAAACATATGTAGTAGCATTGATATCATACTAAATATCTTGCAATTTTTTTAATATTTCGTTCACACGTACTACTAAAAAGCAAACAACAGCTCAAAACAAAGCCATTGCATAATGGTAAATCTATTTGGAAACAAGCATTCTGAGAATATTGCATTAGCAATACTAGTCCCCTACCGGCAAGTGTAATCTGGTTCCCGTTAAAAATTGAAAATGCGATAATTCCGTCAAAAATCAATGAAGTGGAATGAATGCAAACTTGATCTATAACTCATCAAGGTAAAGACACATACCAAAAAATCAGCTCAATATCTGCAAGCATTTAGAAAAAAAAAAATTGCGGAAAACCCTGAAAAATTGAAAAGGTCGTAATTCCGTCAAAAATCATTGAAGCGGAACGAAATGCAAACTTGATCTATAACTCATCAAGATACACTCACATACCAAAAATTAGCTCAATGTATGCAAGCGTTTAGAAAAAAATGCGGAAAACCAAGTGGAACAGACTGACAGACAGACAGACGGACATACTCAGAGGAAACCTATAGCCCCCTCCGGTTTCACCGGTAGGGGAATAATAAAAACTGCATTTTACTTTTCAATCCAAACAACTCATATTTTCCCCCTAGATACTGCTGGTATTTGAAATTAATTGCAAATTCACATTTACAGACTGGATCAATTCAAGGTATTCCATAAGAATAGAACAAGAGGCCCAAAGTTCTTAATGGGTACAAGGTATTTGAGTATAAGACAACACTGTAAAGGATTCATAGAAGTATAAAATAAAACAAAGAAACTATGTTGCCCAAAAGCAAGAGAAATAGGATGATCAGGGATCAACAAAATCTGAACAAACCTGAAAGTAAATCTATTTTACTTACCTGTACGTGCCCTCATTTGTCACTATCAATATGCAGATTATTCAAAACAATAAGTGCTTGAGTACTCTTTAGTTAGTATACCCATCTCATTTCCTCTCACATTGGCTTCTTTTTATCTTTGAAGAACATTGAACGTACAAAGATGAGGAATTTTTGGTCTCATTTTTATTTATCTATTATTTATAAGTCTACGTGATGGTTAAAAAAGTACTTTTTAGCTCACCTGAGCCGAAGGCTCAAGTGAGCTTTTCTGATCAAAATCTGTCCGTTGTCTGTCGTTGTCGTTGTAAACTTTTCACAATTTCATCTTCTCCAGAACTACTGGGCCAATTTCAACCAAACTTGCCACAAAGTATCCTTGGCTGAAGGGGATTCAAGTTTGTTCAAATGAAGGGCCACGCCCTCTTTCAAGGGGAGATAATAAAGAATTAGTGAAAAATTAATAGTATTTTTAAAAATCTTCTTCTCAAGAACCAGAGGGCCAGGAAAGATGAAACTCATGTGGAAGCATCCTCAGGTAGTGTAGATTCAAGTTTGTTCAAATCATGACCCCTGGCGGTAGGGCGGGGCCACAATGGAGGATCAAAGTTTTACATAGAAATATATAGGAAAAACCTTTAAAAATCTTTTCTCAAGAACAGCAAAGCCATGATGAGTCATATTTATATGGAAGCATCCTCAGGTAGTGTAGATTCAAGTTTGTTCAAATCATGACCCCCGGGGGAAGGGTGGGGCCACAATGGAGGATCAAAGTTTTACATAGATATATATATAGGAAAAACCTTAAAAAAATCTTCTCATGAAGAGCCATGATGAGTCATATTTATACGGAAGCATCCTCAGGTAGTGTAGATTCAAGTTTGTTCAAATCATTACCCCCAGGGGTAGGGCGGGGCCACAATGGAGGATCAAAGTTTTACATAGAAATATATAGGAAAAATCTTTAAAAATCTTCTTCTCAAGAACAGCAAAGCCATGATGAGTCATTTATATGGAAGCATCCTCAGGTAGTATAGATTCAAGTTTGTTCAAATCATGGCCCCTGGGGGTAGGGCGGTGCCACAATGGACTATCAAAGTTTTATATAGAAATATATAGGAAAAATCTTTAAAAATCTTCTTCTCAGAAACAGCAAAGCCCTGATTGATCATATTTATATGGAAGCATCCTCAGGTAGTGTAGATTCTATTTTGATCAAATCATGACCCCGGGGGTAGGGTGGGGCCCACAATGGAGGATCAAAGTCTTAAATAGAAATATATAGGAAAATTTCTTCTGAAGAAGAACTGCAAAGCCATGATTAGTCATTTTGGTATATAGAAGCATCCTCAGGTAGTGTAGATTCAAGTTTGTTAAAATGATGACCCCCTGGGATACGATCGGGCCATAATGCAAGATCAAAAACTTTACATAAGAACATATAGGAAAAATATTTCTTCTCAAAAACAGAAAAGCTATGTTTAGTCATATTGATATGGAAGCATCCTCAGGTAGTGTAGATTCAAGTTTGTTCAAATGATGACCCCTGGGATAGGGAGGAGCCACAATGGAGGATCAAATTTTTACAAAGGAATATATGGGAAATTTTTTTTAAAATCTTCTCAAGAACAACAAAGCCATTTGTTATATTGACATGGAAGCATCATCAGGTAGTTTAAAATTCAAGCCCCCCCCCCCCCCCCCCCCAAGTAATCTTTTCAATACTGAACTGATTTGTGCTTTTGCCAAGCCAATGTGCTCATGTGAGCGATGTGGCCCATGGGCCTCTTGTTGTTATTATTATAAAAATTCTTGTATAAATCTCATATTCAATGGACCTTTCCATTACATTATTTACAGTGATTGATTATCATACGATGGCAAAGGGGAATAACTTCTCCCGATAGAATACAAATTAACAGAGCGTGATGAGTACCCAAACACTTTACCAAGTAGTCCACAATTTCACAAATCTGGTAAAAAAATATCTTTGCTTATTACATTTTTACACTCTGTTTGCCTATTAGATGCCCGGGAGTTTTTTTTAAGAATCGATACATTTTCACTATACATTCAACACAGCTCTATCCTAAAACCAGAACACCTGAACCCCTGTTCAATGGGCCATGACATTCACAAATTTGAAAGAGGTGCTTTTTTTTGCTTAATACCCTTGAGCAGAGAAGATTTTCAAATATATAATGCATTTTCACTATATAAACAATAGACCCCCCTCCCCCACCAAAACCCCTGACCTTGGGGCCACAAGTTTCATAGTTTTGGAAGAGGCAACCTTGCCCATCATAACCATGCACCTAGTTTATCTTCTAAATATGCAGGAGAATAGGAGAAGATTTTTAAAGAATTTATCCATTTTCACAATATGATCATTAGAGCCTTGCCCTAACTCCAGAACCCCTGACCCTGGTGCCATGAATTCATATTTTTGGTAGAGGACTCAATGCTTATAATAATCATGACTTCAGTTCAACTCATTGATGTCCAGGAGTAAAGAAGAAAATTTTTTAAGAATGCATTAATTTTAATGGTTTTAGCCCAACCACTCAGGCCCTAGAAGGAAGGGGACCATGAAATTCAAAATTTTCATTTCCCTTTACTCATAGATGCTATATGCCAATATTAGTTGAAATTGGTTCAGCAGTTCCAGAGAAAAAGCTAAAATTGTTCAAATGTTAAAAGATGATGCACGACACACGTCGACGGACTAAAACAGATAGCAATAGGTCACCTAATTGAAACAGGTAGCCTAAAAATGAAAAAGGAAAAATTGAATGAAAATAACTGTGACATAAGGTGATATTCAAATTCTCTTATTTGTTTACATTAAAACTTGGTATCGGTCACTTCCGATTCCTTTTCACTAATGGCTTCATCTTCTTGCACGTTCTCCTTTTTGTCTTTTCCACAGAATGGTTGGAAATTGGCACAGAATGGTAAATACTGCGTAATTTGCAGTCTGTTGAGATATTTTTGGACAAAAGGTAGATCATAAATCGAGATATCGTCTGTTTCCCTAGATTTCCAAGTTTCGTCTATTTCCCGCCATTTTCTGATCCCACGTTCCTCCAAAGTGCCTATGTTTAAAAGATTTTACAGTAATATACACAAGAAGAAATATTTTTCGAATTCAGGACATATCTTGAATATCAGCACATTTCTTAACGGAGACGTGAGGCAACTGAAATCCTTACCTGGAACAGTATTGTCAAGGATAAAACCTGTAAGCCCACCAATAAACATACTCGTACCAAGTAACACACTCAACAACTGATCTCCTATCTCATTTCCTAATAAAAGTAAAAATAATCCTTGAAATAACTATTATCATGCGCTAAAATGGTCAAGGAAACCAATGGCATTAACTGGTAACTGTCTTGGACGAGGATTAGTTTGACTAGTCGCAAAATATCAAGCATCTTCTTAATATTGAAGGGGAATTTATTACAAAAATACACAGTGTGAAAATTCCTACCACCATTAATTTTCTAAGAGATTTTTTTTTTACATGTTTGTCTTTGTATAAAAAAAAAGTTCTATAAATTCCGAATTCAAACGTGAATTACATGTGCATGTATGCTAATTTGTTCGAAATTGAGTCAATGCGTTTTCTGAAGCTTATAAAACAAATAGACCAAAATGTCTGATCCATATGATCAAATTACCTGTATCTATGATTCCCGGATTAGTTTTTATCCAGTTAGGAAAGGATAAACCAAAGAAAATAGATGTTCCTAGGATAAATATATTTCGTGATGAACTGAGGTTAACAAACTGCAGATTAGACAGTCCTACCGCCACCACCATGCCTGGTAAGAAAGAATAATCAATAAGTAAATGTATGACTCAGAAATAACTTACAGTGTCATGTTTTATACACTATATTCCTTATTTCAGATATCACCCTGTAGTAAATGATATGAGATCTTTTCGGCCGTAGATACGGAATGCATGATTGTAGCTTTAACAGAGACTTATAATATGATAAAATTATGTTTCATATTTCTATCAAAAAGTCATATCACAGGCTTATAATGCAAAGGGACATATTATTTAATCATACTTATGCTTTTCAAACGTCAATTCATGCAAGTTTGAACAAAGAACCTTTACCGAATGTAACCATGAACAATCCTCCAATAACAGGGTCTGGTATGGTTACAAACAGAGCGCCAAATTTTCCAAGACATCCTAGTAGGATCATAATTATACCGCCAATTTGTACAATTCGGCGACTACCAACCTACATGAAAAGATATCAGTCATGATTTTAAAACGTGTGATGGGGATAAAATGCTTGTATTAACAATTTTAAATTTGCCGCCACATTCACGACTCATCTAGCTGACATATACTTTTCAACTGGATTTCATATCTGTCAGGTGTACTTTAGATATGCTTAGATAACTCATAAACTTACCCTAGTAATTCCTATAGCCCCAATGTTTTCACTGTAGGAAGTTGTGCCATTTCCTGAGCCCCATGCACCTGCCAATAGGCAACCGATTCCCTCCATACCTATCCCTGAAAGAGAGCTTTATTATACGTCTTGGTCATGTAATGACAGGGCAAATACTCATCTTCTAAAAGAGAGTCTTTTTCACGGGTACAGTAAGACCACAATTTTTCTATTTATTATACATGTACTAAATCTTTTATATGTAATTGTTTAAATTTACCTGGGCCCAAAGCTAGGGGTTCAAGAATACAACGGGAAAACACATTGATAGTATTAATATATTAGTTTCTCAAAAGGCTATGAATGATACAATCTTTAAAAATTGTTAGTCTATAAATGTAAATATTTGTAACTAGAATTGTTTCCGATTGTTCAACATTGTTTGCAAAGAAAACATACTTGTAGAATGAAATGTTATAAAGAATAACTACACATATCAGACTTGGACTGTAAAGTTCAAATTAATAAATATCCGCATATTAATATATTAAGTGAAATGTATGGATCTGGTTGTTTTAAGGTGTAACGTCCCTCTGATAAAAGATATAACTTCCAAAGAACATAACTCCACAGATTCATTTCATCAGGGCTTTTTTTTTTAGCCATTTGCTTGCTTCACCATAATATTCCTACATGGCAATCACATCCTTTAGCAGAAAGAATATTCATGAAAATGAAGTCCTAAATCAGTTGACGAGAGATACTCACTTGGCGAATTTTCTATGAACAAATCCGATGATTATGAACTCTTATTAGCAACATAATTATACAATTAATTTAATTTAAATAAAAGCTATAAAAAGAATGATTTACTTTTTGGGGTTTATTTATTCAGTCACATACCTCTATTTATAGCATGAACTGGAGGAGGAGGTGCTCCGGCAAGCCTTGCGCATGCGTAATAATCCCCGACCGATTCAATCATGGAGGCAAGCACCCCAGCTAACATTCCAAACACAGCTGAAACACTGACTGTAGGTGTCCCCCATTGTCCTATAAAGGTAATTCTGAATTATATTAAAACTTTTCATATTACCTCAAAATAATAATTATAACAACAACAACAAAAAAGAACTACAGTACTTATACTTAATTAGCCCTGCGTTTGATGCTTTTTATTTTTAAATGTAGTATTATTGTTTATTTAATTGAGTAAATATTAATTACTTTTCACCCCTGGGTCGAGGCCTCTGCTGGTGGACTGTTAGTCCCCGAGGGTTTCTACACCCCAGTAGCTAAGTACTTCAGTACTAGCTTGAAAATACGGATATACGTATATTTAATATTGCCGAGGTAAAAATTAGAAATTTATTTCAAAATTAAGGATTATCTCCCTCATGCATAGCTTTGATCCTTCGACATATTTGGCTCCAGATTTTGGCACCTTTTTTCGGCTCTTCAAAGTCTTTTAAAAAATATTTTGGATTTCCAACGTTTCGGCTTGAGCATCACTGAAGAGGCAAAATTTATCGAAATGCGTATCTGGTGCATAAAAAATGGTACCGTATATGATTTACATTTATAAAATTGCTATAAAAAAAAAAATCTTTTTCAAATTTAGACTATTTGCCCCGAGGATGGTCAGTTTCTTCAGAAATTACATCACGTTTATTTCTCTTGTTTTATAAGATTATTCCAAACAATCCTTAAACCTGAACTGTGTTCAAAATTGTCAACTATCCAAACTGCTATGCTAGATATCTTGGTCCAGGAACGCAATGTCTGAATTAAAGCTTGTTATCCCTCTATAGCGGATATCAAGATCGTGTGTAGCTGTACATAGACCTAGTTACATATAGCAGCTATGATATTTAATACAGCTTTGAGAGGAATGAGGGGGGATGGGTACAAGTAATGCCGAATATAATAACATTCTACTGATTCAAACATTGGCCTGGGTGTATAAAAAAAAATCATGATATAAATATATCAAAATGAGGCTAGATGTATGTTCCAAGAATTCGAAGGTTTACCTGGATAGGGAAATCGAAACCAAAGTGCTTTATCCAGAACCTCCGTGTTGACATCAGTGCGGGCGGCATGTCCCCACTTCCCTTTTTCAGGAAGTGCACCCGCTACAGTCAATATTGCACAAATCATCCAAGCCGTTAAAAGGGCAAGCAAAATCTATAATTAATACCATTATTGCATGTATATTAAAACATTAATTTAAATTTACTTAATTGCATGAAATACATAATATTTTTTAAGTCAATACACACCGGGAATAACTTGAATATTGGTAGTCTATAGATCGAGCACCCATCTTTTCGTGTGACTTTGCAAACTGGAATGCTTAAGTTCCTCATATATTGTGAAAAAAGTGCTATCAAAAACATTGTCCTGAAAGAAACGTACATAAAAAATATTCTGAGAGGCAAAACAAGTCTTGAAAGAATTAGAATTAAGTTTACATACTACGATTTCAAAGAAACGTAACAGGCACTTTATAAACTCAATGTAAAAAAAAATATTATAACAGTGTGAAGATCAATATAACAGTCCCCCCTATCTATTGCGGTTAAAATATTATAAAGATGGGCCGACAGACAGAGGATAAACTAAGTAATCCCTAGCCATCATTCTACACAAAAATCTTCCTTACATGAGAGCAATGTACCACTGTTTCGACGCAAGGTCTGCTGCCTCTTTGAATAATGATAAACCAATCAAGGAGATGGTTGGTGCAATGGCTAAGGGTCCTATAAACTGCATGACGAATCCCATGATGCCACTGAACCCAATGATAATTTGAAATAGAGAAGAAACCATGATGGCTCCCTGAATCTACAATTAATTTAAGAATTAATACAAATTGTAATCGGTTAAATCATAGAACAGTTTAATTAGGATATCTTCAGTCATATACATGTACAAAGTAGATCTGGGTATCTTGAAAAACTAAGTGGCTTGTTGGTGTACCTCTCTCACGCGTGCCTGCCACATATCTCGGTGTTCTGGACTACCAATGTCTGGCAGTGGGTCGGATGTCACATTCCATTTTCCTGTACATTTCAACACAGAAGGACTTCATATAAATGTTAGGTATATTCTGAATGAGATTCTTATTTTCTAGTACATGATAATTAGTAGATATATAATTAGCAGAATTTAAAGAATATTATTTCTATAGAGTGCCTTATCAAATCATGTCGATGTATCCTGAACTTTATTCTCGATTTGTAATGAACATGAAATTGGGAACGCAGATTCAAACTTCAAAGTCATGTGTAACTAAAGTCCGGGTAACAAAATTATAGCAGAGTTACAGTAATATACATAATGCATAGATCTACATACATGTGAGACGTTATATCTGAAAACTAAACCCTTCCTATTTATTTGGAAATTTAGACAATTGCAAAATAAGGACAAACACATCTGAGGAAAGGCGAGCGGAAGGAACAGAACAAATAAGCAATTGTAAAATCACAAGTCCAAATCCAGAACATAATCACTAGAATAATAACTAGGTCATTATATAGAATAAAGCCAACAATATAAGAATTATAGCGATTAAAATTCTGCGAAAACCGTGGAATCACGTGAGGTACATTTTTTTTTTATATTACCATTCCCAGAAAGTAGCAACAACCAAAACTTTATAAAAATCACTTACATTTTTACTGGTCTGTACAAATGAAAATAAATAAGAGTTATGATGTTTTATATTTATAAGATAAGAAAGGGTAAGATTGGTATTCATTAAGTATTTAGAGGGTGTTTTATTTCGTTGTTAGGTATGGAATTCATTTCACGAGAGGGACAGGATTTTTTTTTTTTTTTTTTTTAGATATACATGTATTTTTTACGAGTGCAAAGCACGAGTGAAATATAAAATGAAAAAAAAACCTGTCTCAACAGTGAATAAATTCCAATTCAACTACAGAGTAAATTCCAATTCAACTACAAAACATTGGATTTTCTATTTATTGCATTTTCTTTAATTTTTCATTTGCCTCTCTCCTTTTTGAAACGAAGTGTATAGGCTGTGATGTCATAGTTAACAACAATTTGGGGAAACTGGTAGTTTTAAAATCTGTCAGAATAGTTTATTTACTCTTGCTATCTTAATATAACAGGCTAAAGAGCATTTTTAAACACTCTTCTTGAAGGGAAGGAAAATCTCGAGTTTTGCCGCAATTTGACAGTGAGACAGTGTGCTCACATTGATATTTTTTCACGCTGTGTAAAATTACCACTTATTTCATTGATAAATCACAGTATTTCACTGAATTAAAATTATAATATAGACATTAAGGTAGGTTGACTTTTCAATTAAATGCAGTTTTTGATATGGGCATTTGATTTGGCACATAAACTATGCAGTTCTTTATACAAACATGTACTTTGGAAAATTGTGTCTCGATCAACTCCATGATAATGCATGTATATCAATGAAAACTATAGAGCAGTAGACATTTTTGAGATCATTTAATAATCTCGCACAATTGGAGTAGATCTAGAACGATAGTTTGGTGTATAGGGGATATGTATATAAGAATACATGTGTATGGCATGTTGCTGTCTGTCTATCCAAGAACAAATACAGTTTCTATCTTACGCTTAACACAACTGCTGATCACGATGATATTCTAAAAATAGTTTGAACCAATATTTATGCCACTTCAGTTTTTATTCATAATATTTGATCGTTGATGTGGGTGACAAAGGGAAACGACTTAATGAATCCATGATCGAAAGAGAGTTGCACAAGCCGATTAAACTTTGTGAATTTAATGCGACTTCTAATTTTAAGAAAACTTTAAGCCAAATTTACTGCATGCGTAATTGTTGACATGATACAAGTGAAAGCAATCACAGCCTTATGAATGTCAACACTATTAATTAATGAAATATCGCACTAATGAAAAAGAAAGTCAATTTTACCCTCTCCTGCCACGACATACGGGCATTTCCATTTGTCTAACCCCAATATTGTGAAAGTCGGTGTAAGAAATGCGAAAGTCGCTCCTTGTATGATTGGTAACCTTAGAAAATGAAAATAATCAAATGATCTTCAAGTGCAATGAAAACACATTGATTCAAATGAATCTGCAGCTATACATATAAGTCAAAACATTCGAATTTTCGTACAATTAACTATCAATGTGATATACCTTACTCCCAGCGTTGTTTGGAGCAAAGTTGCTAATCCAGATACAAAGAAAATGGTCGAAATGATTTCACTGAGTCCCACACGATCTTGGTCAATGCATAGAGCAGTCTGTAGAACTAAGGGAACTGAGATAGTGGAGCCGAAGGCTGTAAGGTAGTGCTGTAAAAAATATATATATACTGACGTCGCGCACGGTGTTGGTGTCAATTACGGTAACGTCAAAATGACGTTAGATTACGTGACGTTAGAAAAATTAATTTGACGTTACTTATATATATATATATATATATATATATATATATATATATATATATATATATATATATATATATATATAGAGGATATTCAATGTTTTGTGGATGAATATGGAGTTTATTTCACGAGCGGGACAGGATTTTTTGATATTTTCAGAAGTGCGAAGCACGAGTGAAAATATCAAAAATTCCTGTCTCACGAGTGAAATAAATTCCATATTCATCTACAAAACATTGAATTTTCTGTTTATTACATTTTTTTTGGATTTTCCCTTTGCCTCTGTCTTTTCTTTACACAGTGTCATAGGCTTGACGTCATAGTTGAGTGGTTAAGACGTCATAGCTTACCAGTTGTGAGATTGAAAACATTACATAGCATAGATTTTAGCAAAATATTTGGGAAGAAATTTGCAGTTTTAGCTCTATCAAGATGGTAAGTTATTATCTCTATCTTATTACAGGTCAGAAATTATTTTTTACATACTTTGATATCCTTTCACACTGTGAGAGAATATCATTTTGGTATCCTTTCACACTGTGAGAGAATATCACTTTTATTCAATAAATAAATCACAGTATTTCACTGTTGAAAATGTAATATATATATATATATATATATATATATATATATATATATATATATATATATATATATATATATATATATATATATATATATATATATAAGGAATGTTTTTAAGTTTTGTGTGAGTCATTGGTGTGTAAATCACACAGACTTGTCACGTAGGCATATTTCATGAAGCGCGCTCGCGCTTCATGAAAAATATGCCTACGTGTAAGTCTGTGTGATTTACACGCCAATAATTCACACTAAGCTTAAAAAAATTCCTTATATTTACATTTTACATGTTCAAAAGCACCAAAAATATATTCAATGTTTGAATTATTCGCTGCCCTATATCGTGATATTTTTATTAACGTCTCTGTAGCTTATTTTGACGTCACTTTAGCACTTTCTCCGTGCATATTTCTACGCGTGAGTATACACGAAAATGATTTTCAAATCAATTTCACAGTTGGTTTAGTAGAAAAACACAGCAAATATATTATACATATATATCTTCACTCTCTCGCTTAAGCGGGGAGGGGTCATATGTCCTCACACCCTAATTTGATTTCCAATACATATTCTATCAATTCTCCGCGTCCATTTTTTCATTAAAACGCCCTCCCAATCCGCTAAAATTTCCAACGCCGAAATATGCAAAACCGATACCCTCCCTGAGTCCTGGTGATAAGGAGTGTTGACATCCTTGTGATTTCATATTTCTATATTTACCGGGTATTACACATTTATTACACATATTAATACATATATTACACATATGACACATTTTTTCGTTAAAACGCTAAAATTTCCAACGCCGAAATATGCAAAACCGATACACTCCCGGAGTCCCGGTGATAAGGAGAGTTGACATCCTTGTGATTTCATACTGTTATATATATTTCACAAACAAGTAGCATTATATAAATTTTCAGGCATTTTAAATATTACAGGTAGCCTATGGTATGTTTACCGCCTCGCCCCCTCCCCCTTCCCCACTCCTTCTCAGAACTTTATTTTAGACACGATAATAAATGAATGCCAAGCATGTCATAATTATTTACATACTGATAAGAGGGAGAGAGAGAAAGAGACTCTACAGACTTTAGCCTTTTCAATTTTTATGGCAATTTTCAGACCAACAGTTACTATTGATCAAAGGTGTTCTATTCTGTGCTCAGTTCTTTGCCCTTTTATTTCAATCTTACTAAGACTTTATCATATTCAGGGACTTTTAAATCCTTTGTTTATATGTTCTTGATATATTGCACAGATGAAATATAGCCATATACTTTTTTGCAAATAAATTTCGACTGTATCATCTACATCACCCAAAGCGGTCGGATATACAGTGTCTGCACGCACGCCATCTGCAAGGGGGCTAACAGGCAAAGTTATCCTAGAGGACTTTTCAAGTACATTAATAATTCTTTTCATTTGAGTCATAATTACCTACAGCATCTATCTATTAATCATGTTAATATACATAATAGGAATTACTGACTCTCATAGAATTTCTACTGGGTCTTGCAAAGTTTTAAAATCCAACTTCTAGTTTTAGCTTATTATTTCTAAAACCTTTGTCTAATTACATGTATAATGTTTTACAGAGTTTACTTGCCTGAAAACCCAGCAGAATGGATAAATACCACGGTGGAGATTCGTCAACTTTATAGAGGAGGTTGTCATTAACTGGAATCTGGGGCACCTCTTCTATTTCTACGGTGGCTTCGCTGCTGTTTTGTTTACTCGCCATTTTGACTTCGATGTGCTTCTACAAGCAAAGAACGAAAAATTCACAGAATATCACGAAAATAGGTCAATGTATGTTTACATGGACGTTTACTGATGCGCGAAATCCCCCTGACCATGATTTCGGTGTGAGCAGATCCGCATGCGTTAATCAGATGACCATTACGCTAATTAGATAAATAGCTACACGTTTGGTAACTAGGAGAAAGAAATTAATAGGGTCTTAAGGGATACTGAAGTTGAGCATATCATCATATTAATGTATAAAAAATTGTTGCCCTTTCCCCTAACAATTGTATAATCAAGAAAAAATATTGCATCCAGTGAAATTTTTAAATTACGTACGTTTATTTATAGGAGCAAAGATATCCACTGCACTTTAAATTCAAACTACATATAGTTTTCGTTGTGATAACAGTCCACAGTTAATTAATATAGTCATGTACTACCAAAAATGCCGTGGATTATTTGTAAACTTGAAAATGAAATTGCATTCATAAAAAAAAACCTAAATTAAATTGCATAAGAAGTGTTTCGATGTTATAATGATATATTAATTATATGTGCATGTACGTACATTAAAATAAACTCGTTTGTTTTGAATTATTTTTTGCACCCGACAAAAAATTCAAAACAAGCGAGTTTATTGGTCTGTAAAGACAACTATAAAGGGTTATTAGGAGGTGGATAAAATATACAGGTTGGTTAAAGAATATTTCTAAAATTAGGGAGTGAAATTAAGGTAGTTGATTGACCAATGCTGGAAAGTGGAGAAATCACCTCCAACGGTGCTTAGAAAATCTTGCGCCGTAAATTGCACAATATTTGTAGCGTTACTGGCTGGTCAAAGACTAAAATATAAAACCATAACGTTACAGTTCTGCAGCTATATTACGCCATATCATTTGAATTCAGCATAATCATATAAAGTGTAAATAAATACCCCTTTGGTACCCTATTGTTTTTGTTATTACATAATCATCACTGTTTCTACATTGAAGAAATTAATCATTTTATAGACGTCTGAATATCGGTCACACTAATGCATTAGTCGCATTTTCTGTGATAAATGGCTAATTAATACATAGTAAACTCTATAAAGGTTACTTTTTGTTTCCCTACATAGTTTACATCAATGAAAATTATCCAAATCTGGAAGACAAAGGCATGAATTTCAACCTCTTTTATTAGCCATTTTAATGTAGGATATAACACTCCATACGCTTCAGATTTTTAATTAAAATTTCAGGCCGAATTTTGCGTCAATATGGACTATTGTTTTCTTTTCTGTAACGGGGGTAGGAGAAAATCCGACCATGGCAACTCATATACTGGGTGTGTAGGTTTAATGATATCTTTATTATTAATTTTTTTTGTAAAATTTGCTTGGGGGAATTCAATAGGGCGGAAGTATGCAAATTAGACAATCGGTCTCTTTCTCCATATAGGTATTAATTCAGTGAAATAAATCTTTTAAAATTAAACAAATAAAAATATCGTACTGTTGTAAAGCATGCACATGTGACACACCAAAAGTATCATTTCAGCGATCTACGTATAACATACAGTGTTATAAATCGTAACATATGGTAATTTACCTCATCCTGTAATGTAAAGTGAAATATTAGTAAGAAAAAAACCCATGTTACTATTTAATCGTTTACATGTTAATTTATAAAGTAATTTAATTCAGTGTGTAGATAAAACATTATTTTCTTACATTTTTAAAATTGTGAAAAAGATTGTTTCGCTCACTAGCTTATAGATCAGTCCCCGGCTCCGTTTGCTCACAGTTCTCTAGTTCGCTCACAGTTCGCTCACCATTCTCACCTTTGTGTTTGTGGTCTACTCAAGGTACATGTACCCAAGGTAGCTATCCAAGGTGGACAAGATATATTACACTGTATTTATATACATTTCAGTATTATAAAAACATTTTAGTTGAAGATCATAAATTCATAAATGAATAACAAATAATAATAATTTTAAATAGTTATCACATTAAGAAAAATAATTAAAACATAATTATTTGAATTTTTTATGATATCCATAGAAATATGATTGTTCTGGATTTGTAGACCTCTATCAACCATATTTTTCATGCAATGGTTAACCACGTATATCAGATATAGGGAAAATCGTTGAAAATCACCTGTAAATTGACGACTAACCGTCGATTGACATATAAAATGCTTCATTTTATAAAATATCGCAAAAGATGAATTTAAGCTGGAATTATTACAGTTTATATTGTCCCTCCAAAAACAATTGGTCCATCGTCCTGACTAACACTGTCACTACTCCCAAACCTCTCCATCTTTCGAGAAATTAAAAATGGAATAAGACTGGTCTTGCAATGACCTAAATTTAAATGCACTTAAATGTTAAGAGACGTCAAAATAGGTGTGTCTGTTCTTTTTACAGACCCTCCGAAGGAAAATTTTTGCTAAACATTGAAGACTACCACAATGTAACCTACAATATTATAATACAAAAATGTAACAGTAACATACATACCTGTTTATATCATACTGTTACACAGGTACATGTAATCAGTGAGTGCAGATTAAATCCACGGTACGGTAGCCCATTGCAGCTGACATATTTACAAAACATTTTACATTCTGAAATTTCATTTCAGAAAGTTCCTCCTCTCCCAAATTCAATAGATTATTTTAATCCAATGTTTATATTCAAACAATAAACTGCTTTTGATGTTTGTGTATGCAGGGATGAATGGTGGCAATATTGCAAGAAAAAAACATCTAACATAAGAAAGCGGGTTAATAATATGTATTTTTAATATTTTTTAGCATTGATTCCAAATAGTTCATCCAAGATAAGCAAAGAAAGAGAGGGAGGAAAAATCATTGTTTATAATATTATTTACATCTGTCGTAAATGTGTCATATAACATGTAAGTGGATGGGAGTATGTAATATATTTAACTCTCGATGCACGTTATATTGATAGAAGTCCCATGAAACAGTTGAGCTTTGACACATCATAAATATCTTTCAGAAAGATGCCTTTAAAATACAGAGCTATCTAGTTTTATAGGAGTAAATTGTGTGTTAGATAAACAGTAACTGATTTTCGTTAAAAAATAAAAGGAGAAAATATTCAAAGGATGTAAATATATCCAAAATGAATAGCGAGTCATATGTTAGATGACTCATTTATGGTGGGCAGACGATATGACTTGGTTGAACAAAATCAATTTTTGCAAACTCTCATAATTCTTAACATATTTATAACATATTTATAAATTATCATCTACATGAAAAAAATGTAAACTCAATGTTTGTTTGTCTGTTGTTTGACGTCCATCTCGAGATTTAGGGAATTTTCACTCATATTGGAGACACCACTTAGGGCCATTGAGCAGTGAGGGATCTTTAATTTTCGTGCCAGCACCTACTGCGACACGGGACCTCGGTTTATACGGTCTCATCCGAAGGACCGGCCTCCACGTCCTGCAGTGGGATTCGAACCCGCGACGTAAGGATCAACTCCTTACACCGCGACTGTAGAGCAAACGCTCTAATCACTGCGCCATGCGGGCGACTTAACTCAATTTCTACGTTGTTGGGCATATTTTCTATGGGTTTTTACATCATAAACATAGTAGGTTTTCAAAAGGTAGTAACTTTCTTTAGAATCATTGTCTATATATCTGGCGTATTCATTTTTATAAGGTGTCACTATGACCTTGAACCGCCAGGCGCGTAGCTACCTATACGCAAGTACGCAAATGCGTACACATCATCCCCCCCCCCCCCCCAAAAAAAAATGGAATTTAAGAGAAAATTTTGCAGAGAAAGAATTGCACCATCCAGTAAATATTTGTGTTTAAATTTTTTTTAAGTCATATTGTTCCGATTCAAATTTATACAATAATTAGATTTGAAATCTTTTTTATATATAATTGTCAAATCCAAATAAATTATCTGTTAATTTGTAAATGTTCTGTAACACGTGGATAATATTTAATTAAAGATCTTTGAGAACTTTCAATCACCATATTGATGACTTTAACTTTTCAATCGTCAACTTCCCTTACTTATGCAGCAATATACCTTCATCACCTGCATACGGGGTATATATCTCTCAGTTGATTCGATACGCAAGAGCATGCTCTACGTATGTACAATTTCTAAAACGAGGTAAATTATTGACAAATAAGTTGATGAAACAAGAATATCAGCTGTCTCGTTTAAAGTCATCATTTCGTAAGTTCTATGGTCGATACAATGACCTTGTCAGCAAATACACTTTATCATTGAGTCAAATGCTGACTGACGTTTTTCATACTAATTGTTAGGCCATTATTTATACACCGAATTGTCGACGGATTTTTCCGTTATTTCCCGATCATGACAAGGAGCACACGGCGGGTGTGACCGGTCGGCAGGGGATGCTCACTCCTCCATGGCACCTGATCCCACCTCTGATGTTTGGAGGTCCGTGTTTGCTCTGCTCTATTTTGTATTGTATAATGGACTTTTGAACTTGAATACTGTTCGTTATCTCCATATATTACATTGTAGAATGGTTGATATTCTCCTGTATGATTTTAAAATATATATTTTATTATACTTATTGTTGAGCGTTAAAAAGAGTAAATGATACCAGCGTATAAACATGTATCGGAAAAATATTCAGCCTCAATTACATGTACCATGTGTCTCCAATTAATAACATCTATCAAATTATTGTAAAGAAAAGCGAAAAGCATGATTTTTTTTTCAAGGAAAATGACTGAAATTCGTATAAGGCCCAGGAGCTTCCGGGGATTTCGCCCTGTGGGCCCCCATCAGGGCTTCTCCCTGGATCTACTGGGGCCTCACGGCGGCCCCAGTCCCAGTGCCTCTTTCTGTGTACACTTCATTTCAAGTCTGGCTATGCGCCTGGCCGCACATTTTATAAAATCTGATCGCCTATTTTACAAATTTGAAAACTTAAAGCAAAAAGGACATGAGCGAACAAAGCGTGTGAAATGTC